CCACGGGGTCTAAGGAAACTTCTTGATAATAACATTATTTTAGTCAAGGGTAAAGCATTGTGGGGCAAAGGATTTCATACATGTGTAGGACTTCTTAACTTGATATCCTTTTCTTTTCAAATCTAGTCATGGGAGACAATATGAGAGGGTTTAAAAAAATTCATGGAAAATTCCATTATCTTTAAATCCCATTTTCTTTTAAAACCCCCCAAATACCAGTAGAACACACTCCTTATCACCTGGACAGATGAGTCATAAATATAAGGCCCCCAGAAAGATGGATGGACACAGTGGCTACAACAATGGGCTCAGGCACAGGAACACTTGTGAGGAGGGTGCAGGACCGGGCAGTGTTTCCTCTGTTGTGCACGGGGTCGCTGTGGGTCAGAACCGACCCAACAGCACCCAGCAACAACAAGGAGCATCAATAAAGGGTGGAGAGAAAGTTCAAGTAGGATCTGAACAGATTGTCTACAAAAATAAGCAACGGTAATCCAAACCAGAAGACAAAGCAGTGAGAAGGGGCTGAGGAGTACGCAGAGCAAAGAATTCAGCCTGGGAAAATCAGGGAAGAGATCTCAGGGCAGACAGCATTTCAGCAGGTTCTGAGCGGGGAATAGGATTCATGGTGAAGAAAACAACTTCAATTAGCAAGAGGTCACTGAGGTTGAATTGTACAAAAAAAAAAAAAAGTAACTTGAGTCATTCTACTGTTTTATTAGGAATTATTGAGTTTTATTGAATGGCAAGAGGTTTACCGAAAAGCAACTAAATGAGGATAAACTATTTATACTAATAAAATTTTTGGCTTAACACTGTCATCAGCCAACAGAAAGATTCAGGATTGACTGTCTCCAGGTAGCAAGTTAAGCCTGCAACTTCAAAGGTGAAAATACTTATTTCTGACCATAAAGAGTTAGGGACCTAGTAGGGAAATACAAGTCCTGCGTGGTCGAAAGCATTTAACGTATGAGGCTAGGAACAGAAAAGTTGGAGGATCAAGTCTGCCCCAGGCACTGACAAATACTTCCCACAAAAGCAGGAATTGAAAACTCTGCACAGTTCTACTAAGACACGGTACTACTTAGTATTGACTCCATGTCACCTGGTATAATGGGAGTGTCCATATCCTGTGGTAGTGAACAGACGAATGAATTCATTTCATGGATATTTCTTAAAATAAGCCCTCCCTCACATGTGGCAGGCTAAGAAAAGTGGACACGTTCCCTGAGCCCTTAAGCTTACAGTCTTGGCAATAAAAGGATGACCCTCGCTAGCAGGCATAAAGGCTGAGCTGAACGCTCCCGCATATATCCTGTTGCAAAACCAAGGCTATCAATG